ATTCTTGTATTAGTTGCAATAACAATCAGTAGTTTTTTTTTTTCTTTTCTTGATTTTTTGTTTTGTTTTGAGACAGGGTCTACGCAAGCCCAGGCTCATCTTGAACTACATACTCAAGGATAATCTTGAACTCCAGATTTTCCTGCCTCTACCTCCTAAATACTAGGATTACAGGTATGTACCTGGATAATCAGTGATGTTTTTATTATTACCACTATCAAAACTTTGTTCTATATATTGAGTCATAGGAATGGAACCAATCCAGATACCTGGTTTGGTGAGGAAATCAGCATGAAGTTTTGGGAAAGGAGTTGTGATTGTATAAAGAATATATATCCAACTTAGCCAGGATTTTCCAAGATGTTTTGAATGTTTCTGCAAGGGAAAAAAGGAAGAGGAGATATGTGGGCAGGTAAAAAAGAGAGGCACATTTCAAGAAAAGGGAGAAACGTGATGTGGTGGTTTGCATGAAAATGGTCTCCATGGGCTCATGTGTTTGATTACTTGGTTTCCAGTTGGTTGAACTGTTTGGAAAGGATTAGGAGGTGTAGCCTTGTTGAAAGAGGTCTGCCACTTGGGGCCAACTTTGAGAAACAAGATGTGAGGTAACAAGCCATGAGCCTCGTGATAAAATACAAACTAACAGAAATGGATTAATTTAAGTTGTAAGAGCTAGTTAACAATAACCCTGAGCTAATAGGCCAAACAGTATATAATTAATGTTAAACGTTTAAGCAGTTATTTTAAAAGCAACCGAGAGATTAGGCAGGATGAGAACCCTCCAGTTACAAGTTAGCCTCTTCCCTCACTAGACAGGGACAGCTGAGGTTTTCTATCTCAAGTCATTTAGTGAAGGCAGCTGCTCTGAGAGGGCTTGGCCTTAGGTGAGGCTGCTTTTCACAGCAGAGGCCAATCTAGGAGGTGCAACAACTGTGAGTGCCTGCTGACCACACTCCTTAGTGTGGGGTTGCTCGTGTTCCTAGAAAGGAAGGCGTGGGTGGGGTGTCTGCTTCCGTTGCAGATGTTTCTTCCGTTCCTGTTTCTATCTTTGCTATGTCTTTAGGATCAATTCCCAGGAATAGAACTCTGGAATAGACCATGCACATTTTAGCAACATTTGATATTTATTGTCAAGTGAGTTTCCAGAAAGAGTGTGGCCAGTATGGCCAGTAATCGAATTTATCTTTGGGCTGTCAGCTCCCAAATAATAGCATGAAGACTTATTATGAAAGCTTGGCCTTAGCTTAGGCTTTTCCTACTAGTTCTGCTAACTTAAATTAACCCATTCATTTTTATTAATCTACATTCTACCACATGGCTTTTACCTCTCTCCCATTCTGTGTTTCTGACTCTTCTGCATCTCCATGGCGTCCTTCATGAGCCTAGATTCATTTCTTACTTACTCCCACTCTCTGCCCGGAAGTCCTGCCTATACCTCCTGCCTAGCTACTGGCCATTCAGCTAGTTATTAAACCAATCACAACAATATATCTTCACACAGTGTTCAAATACCCCTCAATAGTGGCCCCTTCCCCGCTAATGAAATGAACAGTGTGTTTCATTACTAATGCATAGAAAACAGGACAATTATATTACATGTTTACCTATTTAAGTTTTTGTTCCAAAACACGGACTTACTCTGTAGCCCAGGTTGACTGTGAACTGCCTAGCCCCCCTACAGCAGCCTCCTGAGTGCCAGGACTACAGGCATGGGTCACATGCCCTCTTCTATGTGGTTAACTTTTCTTAACAATAAAATTTTTTGATGCCTTAATTTTAAAAACTATTTAAACATTTATTTTATGGGTGTATGTCCATGTTTATGTGTGTGCACCATATGCATGCAGGATGCTTAAATTTTTTATTATGTCTCTTTTTGTATGTATTTGTGTACACGGTCTCTTTGTGTATGTATTTGTTTACATGCTTTCTAGCACATGTGTGAAGGCTGGAGGACAACTTATGGGAACTTATGGGAATCTGTTTTCTCCTTCCACCATGTGAGCTCCAGGATCAAATTCAGGCAGCCGGGCTTGAGGACAAGCATCTTTATCTGCCGAGCCACCTCACTGACTGGAGGCATTTACTTGCCGTGAGTTTTATCTTAAACTCCTAAGGTTAGGATCTTTCTCGATAAAACTGGATGCATCTTCTACAAAGATAAAATAGCTTAATATCTGAAATAATGAAACAAAGAATTGTGCTTACATGTTCTGAGTTGTGAACCTGCAACTTCAAGGAGGCTGAGGAATGGTTGATGGCTGAGCTGACCTTAGACGGAGTTTTCAATGCACTACAGCCTGGCCATACGTGCATCTGAAGAAATGAATGACACTTCCATTCAGTAGGAAAATTCTGTTTGTGAAAGGCAAACGCACACAGAGGGAGAGAGCATCCAAAAGGACATGACCATAATTACAGAGTGTCTCCTCCATGGTAAGTATGCTCTTGGGCTTTTAAAGTCATATTTAGCATCATATTTAATTATTACAAAACAATTCTTTTGAGATGTTACCATCCCATACTTTTTGGATGGCAAAACCGAAGATTTGGTAACGGGTAACATAAGGTTACTCAGGTTCCCATGTCTGTCACTTCGCATCCTGGGCAGCTGCGTCCTAAGAATAACATCAGGTACAGAACATGTATTAGTCACCTTTTCTTTTTTTCTGTGAGGAAACACTATGATTAAAGCAATTATGGAAGAGTTTGTTTTCCCTTGCAGCTCCAGGGCATCAGAGCCCACAGCAGCTGCGGAGGGATGGCAGCAGGTAATCGGAGCATGCATCTGGGAAGGCGCATCTTCAACCACACCTAAAACACTGAGTGAGATGAAGTGCTAAACACTCAGAGCCAACTCCCAGGGCCATACTTCTCCAGCAAGACTGTGCCTCTTATACGCTCTGTAATCTCCCCAGAAAGCTGGGGACCAAGTGTTCAAGTGCTTGAGTCTGTGGGGTGCATCGCTCATTGACGCCATTGCCCCGGCAGATGCTTCAGACAGGAAGCATGTGTTTAATACAGTAAGTTTAAAAGCCCTCTGTCCCACTGTGCTGGACTACAGATGGTCTAATGTCTCTACGGGTTTCAGTAGTATATTTAGGATTATTCTTAGTGCTGAAGCTCATATCTGTAGCTTCAGCACTGAAGTGGCCAAGGCGGGAGGATTAAGTATTTATTGCCATGTTTACTAAATACAGAGAAGTTCTGGGCTTGAGAAAAGCAGAGAAATGTCTTCTTGTTTTCTTCAATCATTCCACCCTCTTCTTGGGTTTGGCCTAATAAGGGTGTAGGCAGCACACAGAGATGGTCTGGTCAATGGTTTCCCACCACAGCAGGAACAATTGCATCCCCGAAGCTTGTCAGCCAGCTCCAGCTCTTCTAAACAGACCCACTGATTACAGCGGGTGCCAATACATAAAAAAAAAAAAAGGATTGAACCAAAATAAACCTGCGGAATAAACAGAAACCGTCACCCCAATCCAGATGGTCTTCATTCATAAGAGCAAATGAGTTCCAATCCAGTCTTTAGATCTAACTTCCAGGAGGCAGGAAATACTGAGAAAGAAATATGTTGAGGACACCACAAAAAAGCCATAAGACAAATCCAGAAGGCAGCCTGCTTTTTTCAACGCACAATGCCATTCCAAAAAAGGAAGAAGGGGGAGAAGGAGGCCCTTCTAGGGTAAAAATTCTGCAATCAGATGGAATGTAGATTCACTGATTGCCTCTTGGTCTAGGTAAGTCCAGCCACAAAAGCTGTTTTGGGATCCGATAGGGAAACCCGAGCCTGGGTTGGTTATGAATTAGCAATTTTATTGGCTTTATTTAGTTATATGAGCAATGGTATTCTGACAATGCAGGAGAATGTCCTTTAAAGACGAACTGGTTCGTGGAATATTTAGGGCTGAAATGTATCTGATTTTGAAACTGTCTGTATGCAGACAAGATAGGCCAGCCGCTAGCGATCATGAAGTACAGAAGAAGCAAGGCTGTTTCCTTAGACTAGGTTCTCTGCCGTGTGTTAAGCCTTTCTTTAGCCCCCCACGCTCCAAATAAACAGCCAATCGGGAAAATGAGAATGAAAAGTTGCTTCTCTTCCAGAAAAGAAGGGCCAATTTTTATCATTTTACCAAGGTGAAGTCCTGGGTGGCCTGGTTGGGGTTTCCCAAGGCGGGAGCGAGGCCCTAGGGCCCACAGGCATTGGACCACCTGTGCACCTCGCTGATCTGTCCCTGCACACCGCACCTACTCAGGCCCTCTGCTCATACTGTGTAACCCGTCACCGCTGACACACCACGAGGGGTCAGAGTTTTGACTAACTCCGGGAGAAGGCGGTCCAATGTCCAGAACTGAGCCCAGCATGTGTGTGTGTGTGTGTGTCGAGGTGGGTGAAAAGTCAAGTTCTTTCGGTTCACCGAACCTCTTGTGGCCAGAGGCGACAACTGAAGAGGCAGGTCTCTTCCTCCCGACCCACCTGCAATCTGGGCGGAGCGGAGCCAGCCCCGGCTAGGGGACCGGCCGCACGTACCCAAGCACGTACCCCTCACCTGCGGCCGGAAGCCTGGGGGGTCGCGGGGACTGCGGAGCGTCTGGGACGGGTCAGCTGGCTCCGTGGAGCCGGAGGGCAGTGGCAGCCAGGCCAGGCGGCTCCGCGTCCCCGCGGGGGAAGTTTCTTGGCCCGGAAAGGTGCAATTGTGTGCAGCTATTCCTGGTATGTCAGGCCGCAGGCTGTAGGGGCACCGCCTCCCGAGAGCCTGGGACAGGGAAGGCTGGCAGAGGCGGGAAGGATGCGGGCTGGGGAGCATCTCTCCGCCCAGATAGTCTGACCAAAGTGGTGGCAGCAAGGACCCGGGCGAGGACCGGAACGTAGGGGGTGGGCTGGGGCGGGGCCACTGCTGAGGGCGGCGCCCGAGCTTACGACTTTTGAAGTTCCCAGGAGTCCAGGCTCTCTCTGTGCACCGCTTCTAGTCAGCTTCTTTACCTCCTCTCTCCTGCCCCAGTCTCGCTGAGTTTGATCCGATTTCAGGAGTTTTGAGAAAGCAATACCTGCAAGTTCTGCTAGGTTACTGAACTTAAACTGCACGTCGCAACAAAGGGAGGGGAACGCGTCTGGGTCCCGGAGTGCACCCACTTAGCTGCTTTCTCCCCTCTCTTGCTCTAGTGATGGAAGGGATGGAGGACGCCGAGGCCGATTGCTCGGCTGCATTTGCAGAGGCTCAGAGATGGGTAGAGGTGAGTGTCTTTTACAGCTCTTTGCAGAAGAGTTTGCGCCCTCGGGTCTGGAGTCTTTTAGTGACCGGGTTCCCAGGCAATCTGAGCTTATGTCCGGTGAACCCAGCTGAGTAAAGAAGAGGCAATTTGGGACACCGTGCAATTTCCTCCCTTTCCAACACCCCGATGCCTGTCCTTCCTCGAACTTTCTTGCGAATCTCCCAGCGCTTGCCCACTAGGTTTTGGTACCATGCATCCCAGAGGACCAGTCCAGGACCCTCCTCAGACGTCTCCGTGAAAGCATTTCCCAGGAAGCTACACAGAGCTAGGCCGGGGTCCTTGGATGTATTTCTTTGCGATGTTGATACCTGACAGGCACCTGGGTAGACAGTGTATTCAGTGTGAGGGTGAGTCTACCCTTCATCCGCTCTGGAGTTAAAAAGCTAAACCATCCTAGGCTCTTACAGATGTCTTGCTATTCCAGCTGTGCCTCACAGATAAGGTCTTTCGTTCCCTTCACTCCTGTGAAGGAGAGACAGCCCCTATGTTGCCTTCGGACTAGGCTATTTATTCTGGGATTGACAAATTGGGGAGAGGGGTGCGCATATGTATGTTTGTGATTGAACTCCTCCCACTCCTGTGCTCTAGCACTGTGATGACTCTCCAGACTGAGATGTTTTTTCGGATGGGTCAAAAGACTCCTTCCAAATGTGGGCATCTCAGTGACTTCCTTCATGTTATAAAAATGTTTCCTACACCAGTACTGAAGTCATTTTGGAATTATTGGTGCCACATGTTACTTTATCCAATCGCTAGGAATTTAATCCAGGCCTTGGGCATGCTTGACAAGAGCTCTACCCCTTAATCACACCCAAGTCCCTCAATGACATATTTAAATATTCAAATTAAGCTTAAAGAGTCCCTGGGAAAAGGAAGAATTCCAGGAAGAATGTCAGAGAAACCACACACACGTATATATGTATATACCTATACATATATAATTTTATTTTCTTTAAAGAAACATACGTAGGGCTGGGGAGGTGGCCCACTAGATCTCACTAGCTTGAGAACCTGAGTTTTGATCCCCAGCACTCATGTAAGAAGTCACTGCAACCCCAGGACAGACAAGGATGTAGAGAGAGAGGGATCCATGCGACTTTGCTGACTATCTGGTCAGCTAGCCTAGCCAAAGTGGGGAGTTCTAGCTTCAGCAAGAGACACTGAACATTAAAACAAAAACAAAACAAAAAAAAAGACCAAGAAGAGACTGAGGAAAAAACCTGACATTGACTTTTAGTTTCCAAACACACACACCCGTGCTTGCGCGCGCACACACACATACCCATTAAAAAACATGTATTTATGTATTTATTTGGGGAAAAATAAAAACAATAAATGTTAAGTGATGTCACATTTTTACTTCTCAGTGAAAGGACATGAGATGTGAGTGGCATTGCTTTCTAGACAGTAGGGATGTCTCAGAAGCTGGCTTTTGGTGCCTTTATGGGATGAAACTTTGAGTTGTCTCAAGGTGACTTAGAAAGATGGGAGGGAGGGCATGGGAGGCGGGAGAAGTTATAAACACTGTATTCAGAATGGAAATGAGAGTGGAAAAATCCCAGCAATGTCGTGAAGAGAAATAACTTTGCTCCTTCACAAACCTGGAAAAGTCGAGGCTTCACCTGGAATTTTCCACTAATGGTGTTTGCTCTGTAGAATTTCAGAGAGCAAGTTAAACTCATCATTCTCCTTTTCATTTGAGTGTGGAGGATGGGGGAGGGGAGGGGAAATGGAAGGGATTTGGGGGGGGTTTTTCATTTGTACAGGATTCCTGGTTGATTGACAGGTTTTGGTCATTCAACTTCTAGGTTTGCAAGACTTACGCTTCTTTGTGGAACTGTGGATATAGATCATTTCCCACCAGTGGTTGCTTTCTAGATCTTAGGAAAGTCGCTACTGTTTGCTTATCTAAGCATGCTTACAATTCTGTAAAAAAAAAAAATTGCATTCTGTGAACTCCTGGCAAGTGTGTTCACTCATCTTCCCTTCTATCCCAGTCTACGGGAAGGCTTAGCAGCAGTAATCTGGCAACTTGGTACATTCCTTATTCACGAAGAGTGCAGTGTTTCTAAGCTACTCTCAGATCCCTTTAATATAGTGAGAGAAATTAAAATTAAATGCTTTCCCCTCACACACCAGTTGGGCTACTGTTCAGTGTTTGTTGAGGAAATTTGAATAATTTTTGTATTTATATATTTCTTTTTTGTTGAGACAGGGTTTCATTGTGAGGCTATAGATGGCCTGGAACTTGCTGTGTAGATCAGGCTGGCTTTAAATTTATGGGGATCACCTATTCTGGCTCCGGAGTGCTGGGATGCACTAAAGGCATGCACTATCATACCTGTCCGCATATTCCTACCTAAGTTTTTGTTTGTTTTCTGAGACAGGGTGTCTCTGTGTAGCCCTGGCTGTCCTGGAACTTGCTTGGTAGAGCAGGCAAGATATCTGCCTGACTCTGCCTCCCGAGTGCTGGGATGAAAGGCATGGGCCACCTCCACCTGGCCTCTACTGAAAATGTTTGTCAACTATTCCTTAGGAGTTCTCTGTGCATTTGAAGTGTTGCCAGCTGGTTATCTTGTTAGTGTTTTCTTTATGATTAAACTTGTGTTTAAAATATTGTTGCCCAAAACAATAGAATGTCTAACTCTGACCATCACAACCTATTGCTTTCAAGGACCCTTAATTCAAAAATCAAGTGTTTCTCTGTCATTTTGGAACACAAACTGGAGACTGACATCAAGTTCCCTGGTGCTAATGTTCTTGCTCTATCTTGCTCTTTCTGTTGATCTTTTTCTACATAAGCTTCCAATTCATACATCTTATGTATACATTGTATGTTATGACTTGTGACATTGCACAGAACATAGCCTGCAATTCTATCTTCACCTAGAGTTGTCTATGTAACTCTATTTTCTGCTGTGCTGGAGCTGGGGACTGAGCCTCGCTGCTTCACTTTTTTCACTGGGCTCCCTACCCCACCTCGTCAGCTGCAGTGTTGACCCTCCCAAGGGCGAGAAAGTCCAAGAGCCTTGTCAAACTTTAAATGATGACTGGACTCCACGTCAGTGTGCACTCTCCACTTCCATTTTCTCTCTGTGACGACAAATCCCTAATGGGTCATTCTTACAATCAAAGTTAAAGCTATTCACATTCATTTTGGCGGGGGGAGCAGCTATGGAGCAAGCGGGATGTGAGGGCTGTTGTCATTCTGTTGATCTTTCTTCTCCTTCATTTTAAGTTATATTGAGATTCTTAGGAAGAATGAGAATCCTAAAGAGGTTTGTCTACTCAGGGAGTAATTTTGCAATGGAAATAAATGCAGGCATGGTGCCCTTTAAGATAACGCCACAGAATGATGTCAGATGAATCATCTAAGCGGAAACGTTGTTTGGAATATTTATAATGTAGCAGGGCTAGTTTATGATTAAACATTGGTTAAAACTGAGTTAGGTAATGGTTTGCAGCCAACACTCTCCGGGCAAGGTCACGGAGTAGGTAGGTGGTGAAGTGGAAGAAAACACAGCCTAGACGGGCTCACTAATTTTAGTGTGCTTCTGCTGTACCTTTTAATTTCCTGTACCTAATAGTTGCCTCTGTCTGCTTAGGGACAAACCCTTAACTTAAGCAGATAGAAGACCGATGAGATTGAAAACCCGAAATGCTCTTCCTCGCCTCGCTTGGTCTCTGGTTTCTAGTTTAGTGAGTTCATGTTGCCGTCCAGGCGTGAGTGTTGAACGCTGCTGTGTGGATGGCTGGCACAGACCAGGCCTGCTTGACTCACTTCCTCCCTGCTCACCTGTCCTTCCTCTTATCTCGGGGTCTGGGTCCTTTGGTATCACTATCATCCTGTGAAGGGATCGAAGGGTGCCAGCTCGGGTACACTGCCAAGTCCAGCACCAGAATAAGAGTCCCGGATCGGATCCTTGTTTGCTCCCTATTGGTCCCTCACCCTTCAAAGACATTCTCTCGCTGTCCTCTTACTTATTTTGTTTGCCTCTTGCTAAAGAATTTTAAGAATTTAAAGAATGCCTTGGTTTTAAAATTGTACTTTCCAGGTCTACTATTGGTAGAATTGAAGTTCTACCCCTCTTTCTCTCTGAACTGTATCCTTTCTAACCATGACTGCCCCTGAGGTCTGTAAGATATGAAATGTTCTCTACACACCAGTGCCGTCTTCAGGTCAAATGAAAGTCTCATGAATGTGTACCGGTGCTTTTCAAATGCAGATAGCTTGACAAATATCCATTTGAAACTGTTTCTAAATTCAGAGAAGCGTATTTGGTAACAGGTGTAATTTTCTTTCTTGTTTTTTTTTTTTTTTTCTTTCTTTTTTTTGAGACATGGTTTCTCTGTGTTCTGGAACTCACTCTGTAGACCAGGCTGGCCTTGAACTCAGAGATCTGCCTACCTCTGCCTTCCGAGTTCTGGGATTAAAGATGTGCACCGCCACATCGTAGCAATGCGTATAATTTCATTTGTCAAGTTGAATTATAAAGTTTCTTGGTATGGTGAAGTTAGTGTGATATACAAAGAGGGTAACCTATACTTTTAACAAATAGCCATGTCTCAGTCAATCGCAAGCATCCTACTGTGCAAGTCATGGTCAAATAAGACAAATATCAGGTGTAACCAATGGGGTGCTAGCTCTACCCCACTTCCATGCCTTACGTTATTTCCTTTTCATGCTCAACAAATATAATCTGTCCATGGTGGGTTGGAATCATCTCCACTTCTTGGTCTGTATGGCTGTTATGAAAACCACTGAACCACAGCCCTCCATTTGCCTTTGCTCTTGCAGAGGACTTGAGTTTAGGTCCTGGACTGCAATCACCTGTAACTCTAGCGCTAGGGGATCTGATGCCCTCTTCTGGCCTCTGTGGACTCTTTGTGACAATGGACATGTCACACACATACACTCACACATACACACCAACACATACATAGACATTCACACATGCATA